TTTGAATCTTGGATTCTCCATTAGGCCAGCCGTTATTCAAGTGTGAGTGCAAAATAAAGACAATTTTAAACATGGGAAGTTGATCCTCTCTGAAAAAATAAATTACTATAGGATGTTCTCTAGCAAAATGCAAAAGGAAATAAAGAAAGAGAAGACTTGGAATATGAGTGGGGAGTAAAGTAACCAACATGACAGCAGCAAGCCTGAATAGTCGTGAGCTGTTCACACAAACTAGGTGTGAGTTTAGTGCAGTTGTTGAGAAAGAGCCCCTAGGACAGAAGAAGCTTAAGAAGAGTTACTTTAAGGATTACTTTAAGTCATTTGGGAGATTTCCGGTAATAAAAACTTACTCTCTATAAGCACACATCTAAAGGCTGATGTATCTTAAGAATATAAGCCAAGAAAAACTATTATAAATTAAAAATTAAGCTGAAAAGGGAAAATTGGTTGTATAATAAATAAAAAATGTAGTAATCAAAACCCCAAGAACATATAGTGAGACAATGTGCTATTATTAGTAGCTAATCTTATTTGAGGACTTATTACATGCCAGATATTTTGCCAGATGGGTGCTATTATTGTCTCCATTTATCGATGAGGTGACTGAGCATAGAGAGATGAAGCAATTTACCCTGAGTCATCAGCTGGCAAGGGGCAGAGCCAGGCAATCTCACTTCATAACTATGCTCCTTTATTTTTTTTTTTAGTGAGGAAGATTTGCCCTGTGGTATCATCTGTTGCCAATCCTCTTCTTTTTTTTGCTTGAGGAAGATTGTCGCTGAGCTAACATCTGTGCCAGTCCTCCTCTATTTTGTATGTGGGATGCCTCCACAGCATGGTTGTTGAGTGGAGTAGGTCTCCGACCAGATCTGAACCTAGGAACCTGGACCACCAAAGTGGAGAGCCAGGAACTTTAACCACTCGGCCACAGGGCTGGCCCCCATAGCCACGATCTTAATCACTATACTAAATATTATGTCCTTGACCCCTTATTGGAGTATAAATTGTTCAACAATGACTCCATAACAAAGAAAAAACAACACCATTTTCTACACTTTGCAGGCATTTTTCCAACATGTGTCAGATATGTTTCTTATACTCTGTGAACCCTGGAGTACCAGTAACCTATTGCAACAAAATTCTCTGGAACAAACCACCTCATATGTGACAACATGGAAGAAACTTGAGGACATTATGCTAAATGAAATAAGCCAGTCACAGAAGGAAAAATATTGCACAATTCCGCTTACATGAGGGATCTAAAATAGTCAAATTCGTAGAGTCAGAGAAGGGAATGGTGGTTGCCAGGGCCTGAGAGGAGGTCCAAGTGGGGAATTACTAATCAACAGACACAAAGTTTCAATTAAACAAAGTGAATAAGCTCTAGAGACATACTGTACAACATTGTGCCCACGGTCAATAATAATATATTGTGCACTTAAAAATTTGTTGAGGGCAAATTCATGTTAGAAGTTCTCACAGCAATACAATACGTGAACAAACCTCGTGACTTGAAACAGCTATTACTTGCTGTCATGGCTGTGTGGATCACTTAGGGGTTTGCTCTAGCCTGGGCCTAGCTGGGGTGGGTTGGCTAAGTTCCATTTGTCTTTCATCCCCCTCTTGGGACGAGAGGCTAGCCTGGACACGTCCTTTCCATTGTATGGTAGAAGCACAAGAGGGCAAGCCCAAACATGCAGCTGCTTTTCAAGCCTTTGGTCCCATCACATCTGTTAACATTCCATTAACCAACCCACATGGCTGTGAGGGAGACAGGAAAGTCATATGGCAAAGGACGTGAATACAGGGAGGGGCAATGAGTTAGGGCCAATAATGCTACGTAGCATTGCCAATCGCCAATCTACTTGTCTCATAGTTGTTACTTGCGGGAAAAAATCATATAGGCAAACCATATATGAAGATTTGCAAGAGAATGGGCTTGTTGAGGAAAACGTAGATGTTACAATCACATTAGTACCTCCAGGGGCTGAAAAGAGAATCTGTAAAATGCCACACTCTTAAAAATGTTGGATAAAATTATTACTATTCATTCATTCAAAGAGAGCCTTCCTTAACCAGTATGACCCTTGGGGGATGAGAGGCCCTGATCCTGCTTCCAGTTTAGTACTGAAACTATTGTCTGCGGCAACTGAGGGAGAAGGTGAGGAGGGGCAAAGAGTTAAAATATCTAAGGCCGATATATCTTTACCTGTATCTCTATCTCTGTATCTGTATATGTATCTATATCTGTATCTATAGATCTCAATATTTCTATCTCTGTGTCTATATTTGCCTTAGATATTATATATATATATCTCCTATCCTTAATTATTAAAAAATAAAATGATGAATGCATAATTGTGAGTGGGATGTCCTTTTTTCTGATTCTAGGTAGGGGTGTGGGAAGAACTTTACAAGTACTGGAAACAGCACTTGATGGAATAGTCTGGAAGCTGGCTTTTTGCCCTAAGTCTGCCGCTAATAAAAGATAAAACCCAGAACAAATTCCATAGCTTTTCTGAGTGACAATTTTCTTATCATTAAAATTGGGCTGGAGGATCTCTAAGATTCTTTTCAACCCTAAGGATTTAAGAAGGAAATTAAAAAAAATGGAAATATGACAACAGTATAGATGGGAATTCATTGAAATGCATTTTGTAAAATTAGGAGCAGCAGCTGATTTATAGGAAGCAATAACATGTTCTCTAAAATGATTAATTATAATTGAACAGTTACTATTGATATAGGGATGGCTAGATCTTATGAATAAAATTGTAAGGCTCATTCCAAACTGGTGTGTTTTTCAAACAAAAAGGAACAGTAAGTTTCTTTAAATTTTTTTAAATCAGTACTAGATAAATTACGAAGAGAAAAAACTAAAGGTTATAAAGCATATACTAGGTTATAAGTCGCTGACTAGTCTCTGATTTGCAGTGAAATACTAAAAGTAAGAAAATAAGAAATGTCAGTGGCCTTGTCCTAGGATGTGTCCTTTCTAGTTGACAATACTTCCTGTGTTGTATTATGGCAGAGCATAGTTACATTCGGTCCATCAACTTAGAGGCTGTTGTCGTGTTCCAAACATCTCCACCTTCCCCTGAGAAGTAGTTATGAATCCACAATCCACTAATGTACATGAATATACATTCCACTAGTGTATGTGAATTTGCATTATAGATTAGGTTTATGTATACAGAATGACTCACTTCACCAACTAGGAGTAGCAATATATCACATCGTCTTTGTTATGCCAATTAATCATTCAAGCAACAACATGTCCTTAGCAGCAGGAAGTCCAGTATCTCCCATTTGAGGGCTTCTCCTTCCCTACTATCCCGTGTTGTTCAGGTGGCTTTCTCAGACCAAAGGCTGTCAATCGTATTTCCAAGATAACTGCAAGTTTACATTGGCCATCTACGTATGGCTTCTCATTGCCATATGGTGTCACTATAGAAGGTTGGTCCTATCCAGTTCCATAGATGCTTGTCACTTGGGAATGATTCTTTTCTAGTCTAAGTCCTGACATTGGCTTCCCTGCGTACTTGGGTTCAGTGTGTAGAGAGAGTGCCTGGTTAAGATTCTGAGTTCTGGAGGCTTGTACGCTGGATTCGAATTTTGCCTTTGCTTCTTTTGAGCTGTGTGACCTAAGCTGAGTTCTCTAACTTTCAGAGCTTCAGTTTCCTCATCTATAAAGTAAAGATAATAGAGTTTATCTCATAGAGTTGTGAAAATGAAATGAGACAACACATAACAAGCAGAGTACCTGGCGCCTACGAGATTTGTAGAAAATATATGTTCCTGCTATCATCTTGATGATGACTCCTAGTGTTAGTAATATAGTAATCATTTCCGAAAGTGTGGCAATATTGCAAGGTTGCTGTGATGCAGAGCTTGTGATTCCATTATTTCCTCTTGTAGGAACCTGGGCTCCCTATGCAAGTTAGTCTACTTCACCGAGAGCTCTGCAAACCAGAGCAATTGACCTCCTGGTTGAGTGCTTCTCTAAGAAACATGGGCAAAGTTGTGAACAGGCAATTCATGGAAGAGTAAATTTGAGTGGCTGATACATATAATCTGACTAGTCCTCAGCAAAGTTCAAATTAAGATAAAAATGAGATAACTTTCTATATGCAACAGATGTACAAAAATACACTTCCAGTGACATCAGTCTGTGGGGGTATGAAGCAAAGGTGACCCTCGTGTGTTGTAGATGAGAGGGAAAATCATCACAACCAGTGTGGCTCACACTGTCTCTAAGTAGCAGGCACTGGAAAATAAACTGTGATTTATTTATAAAATAGAATGCTACAAAGTTTTAAAGTGAATGAAGAGTGTGTGTGTGAACATGGATGCATCTGAAAAACGTAATGATGAGTTAAAAAAAGTTGTTAAAGGCTACTAGAGTATACCATTTACGTACGTTTCTTAAAACACACAAACATGTACACAAATGTATGTAATAAAAATATGAAGACATGCAGGCTAAAGATACATCCCAACTTTAGGATGTTAACTACTTCTAGGGAATGAAGGGGTGGAAAAGATACAACGAGGGGTAATGGTTTTCTATGTAATGTTTTGTTTCCTTTGAAATTTTAAGACAACGTGGTAACACGCTAACATCTGTTACCTATGTGTGATGGGTTCATAGGTGTCTATGAAATCACTTTTTGCTCCTTTCTGTAAACATAAATATTTAATAATATGACATAAGATAAAGAAAGTTAGAGGGAAAATAATAGCTCATTTAGCCTTTGGGATAATTAGAAAACATTTGTAGAAGAATAAAATTAGATTTTTACTTTACGTCATATACAAAAGAAAATTCCCTATGGGTTAAATTTTAAGTGAAGAGAAAATAGATCAGATGATACTGTAGGTGATTATTTGTCTGATCTTAGGTAGGGAAAATTACCTTTAAGCATAGTGACAAAAGAAATCTAGACGAAATAAATTTAGACAAAAGGAAAAGATTAATACATTTTTCTACAAAGAATTTAAATTTCCTTTACTCTTCAAACCATAAACAAAATATATATGATGAACTAAATTGATATTCTTAACATGCAAAGGATTTGGAGAAACAAAAGATATGAAATCCTCTCAGGACAAAAATATAATAATGACATGAACAATTTGCAAAAAATAAATACACATGAACAACATGTGAAAATGTTCGACAACACAGTTATCAATTTATTGCCTCAGCTCTGAATTCACCCTTCAGTAACTTCTCTGCAATAATGGACCGTGTTGTGTACACATTTCTCTTTACAATGAGCACAATGTTAAGCTTTGTCAATAGGACAAAATGTCACAGGAAAGACATTGTTAGAGTGAGGGATCTTCTCTTACTGGTGTGCTGTGTTTTGTTTTTTCTTGCTAATGTTGCATGAGGAGTCAGCTGTACAGGAGTGTGGGGACATCCAGTGGGCTATGCCCTAGGTGTGTGCCCACAGAGCACACTCCCTCAGCCGTCTGGCTGCTTCAGCCTAGACTTGGTGACCACATTCCTGTGGTTCTCCTGATGAGGGCACTACACAGGTCTAGGTTGAGCCTGCAGAGGTGCCCCGAGTCCCACTGCCTGCCCAATCCCCAGCCACGGCTCATCTGTATTCTGGAGGGTTGCTTCTCATGGCTTTCCCAGACCAGGTAGCACGTGGTCCAGGCCTGTGGCCACAGTGGCACTTTGGTACTCCTTCTCATACTTGCCCGCCCACCAGCCTTGGCTCACCTGTACACCAGAGGACTGTTTCCAGGTTGCTAGGTGACTGAGGACCAGCTCCAGCTTGGCTAACCCTGTGAACTTCTCTGTGGATTTTTAATGGACCCAATAAATTTTGTGTTTCATGGCAAAGAATTTAGTATGAAATATTGTTCTTTCTTTGACTTTTATAAACATTCCCAGATGATAGTGTGTCCCATACGTGTCATACAACAGAAAGAAAGGACTTGATTCTACAAATCTTTAGTAATTTTAACTTAGGACGTTTTTAGAACCAAGATTTAAGATCTTATAATGAGAAAACATAAATGCTACTGGTAATCTTCACTTGAAGTCCTGCTTACTCATTTGTATTCTAACTGTAATAAGCAGATATTGACTGCAGTTGATATCAACAATCAAGATTTACTGATCTGAGCTAAATATCACCTAAAATAATGTTAAGGTCAATATGTGTCAGAGAGACCATTGATCTTGTATGAAGACTAACAGGTCATCAATATCTCCATTATTGCACCCATGTATTATAAAAATTCTATTATAAATTTTAGTTTTCAGGAAGTATGTAGTTCATTTGAAAGAGAACGAGAAGATTATTTAAGACCTGTTATAGTTATGGGCGTGGAGACAGAACAAGAGTGTAGTTCAGTGGAACTTCGTGAATTCTTTCCTAAAACCATTTCTCCAGCTTACTTGCATTTTGGTGACTGGACTTTTAAGTGGGGTGTGGCTAGAGCTAGGGTGGTTCTGTCATCATTATAAAAGGGCTAAAGAAGCGGAAAGGGGATGGGTTCAAGAATAAAGATCTCAGAGCAGAAGTGGAAAGAGGAGCAGAGTTGAGAGGAGTCATTTAGATTTTCACTTTACTAACACTTTGCTATTCTGCATAGCTCTGTTATGCATGGTTCTACTGTAGTTAGCAGGATAGTGTCACGATGTGCACATCAGAAGCAGAAACATTAGAGGATGTCATGAAAACAAATTCATATTTTTTATGATAGAGAAAAAATTGATACATGTGAACTAAAACAAGGTTTTGATAGTACAAATTCTTTTTGTAAAACAGTACAAATTCTCTTTTTTTGGCTTAAACAGGACTGACTACTGGTTAGAGACGAGCAAGAAGCATCAGCACTAAATCATAGCAAAGAAGGACCTGGGTAAGCTCAGAACAAAAATTTGTTGGAACCTTCCTTCAGTCGTCCTAGTGACCTGCTAGACCTGCCAGGAGCTCCCAGCGCCAGATACCGGAAAATGTGCTTGATTTCATTGCCAGGGCGATCCTTCTAAAGGGAGCGATTCTAGCTGGAGGCTCCCAGCGCCAGATACCGGAAAATGTGCTTGATTTCATTGCCAGGGCGATCCTTCTAAAGGGAGCGATTCTAGCTGGAGGCTCCCAGCGCCAGATACCGGAAATTGTGCTTGATTTCATTGCCAGGGCGATCCTTCTAAAGGGAGCGATTCTAGCTGGAGGCTCCCAGCGCCAGATACCGGAAATTGTGCTTGATTTCATTGCCAGGGCGATCCTTCTAAAGGGAGCGATTCTAGCTGGAGGCTCCCAGCGCCAGATACCGGAAATTGTGCTTGATTTCATTGCCAGGGCGATCCTTCTAAAGGGAGCGATTCTAGCTGGAGGCTCCCAGCGCCAGATACCGGAAATTGTGCTTGATTTCATTGCCAGGGCGATCCTTCTAAAGGGAGCGATTCTAGCTGGAGGCTCCCAGCGCCAGATACCGGAAAATGTGCTTGATTTCATTGCCAGGGCGATCCTTCTAAAGGGAGCGATTCTAGCTGGAGGCTCCCAGCGCCAGATACCGGAAAATGTGCTTGATTTCATTGCCAGGGCGATCCTTCTAAAGTGAGCGATTCTAGCTGGAGGCTCCCAGCGCCAGATACCGGAAAATGTGCTTGATTTCATTGCCAGGGCGATCCTTCTAAAGGGAGCGATTCTAGCTGGAGGCTCCCAGCGCCAGATACCGGAAAATGTGCTTGATTTCATTGCCAGGGCGATCCTTCTAAAGGGAGCGATTCTAGCTGGAGGCTCCCAGCGCCAGATACCGGAAAATGTGCTTGATTTCATTGCCAGGGCGATCCTTCTAAAGTGAGCGATTCTAGCTGGAGGCTCCCTACAGAGAGGCTAATAAGATACTTTACAGTGGTCTGGTCTATTTGGCAGCAATTAGGAAATCATTAATTCTTTCAACAGATTAATATTAAAGTAATTGTGGACGTACATAGCTGATATATATGTCTATAGTGTCATCACTGAATGAAGGAGAAACCTATGGGGATTATTAAAAATACATCAATAACTGTTACAAGTCAATAAGAAAATATAAAGTCCCAAGAGAATAAAAAGGCAAATACTTTTACAGTTAATTCATAAAAGAAGAAATACAAATTTCAACATGTGTTAAAATGTTCCCTTCAGTAATAATCAAAGAAAAGCTAATTAGCATCATTACTGAGATTTTTAAGGAGCCTTCCAAATTTTAAGAATACAAAAAATTACGTAGTGTTGCTAAGAATTTGTGGAAAATGGGCTTTTTCATACAATCTGTTAAGTGAAATATTTATCAAAGCCTAAAAAAACCAAACAAAACTATTGAGCATACCATTCTATTTCTAGGAATTTATCCCAATTGAATAACAAGAAACATAGACTTTTAAATACAAGATGGCTTACTGTAGTGTTATGTAAAAGGATAAAGAAATTTAAGTGGCCTAAATGTCCAACAATTGTTGGAAGAGGAATCCACCATGGGCCCCGAGCATCCACTCCTCCACGTTCTGCAAAGTGCGCCAGATCGAAAGGCTTATATGTCTTGTGATATTGAGCAGTTTCTGTAGCTAGTCACACGAGCAACTAAGTAGGTCGAGGTGACCATAGCCTGACTACCGTGGGACAGCATGTTCCTTGAGAGGAGGGGACAAGCTTATCTGCTGCTGGTTACAATGACTGCTGCTTGTCAGAAAGCCCTGGACCTTTGGCTCTGGGTTCTTCTCCTATAACACAACCTTTTGTGTGTGCAGGTATCAGCTATATGACACATCTTTGTGGCACTTGGACGAAAAGGAACCAACGCAAATATACTGATGCGCCTGCTGCCTGCTGTGCTGTGAGTGAGAAAGTCTGTTTCCTCTGACCTGGGAGTCTTGTGTCTTCTACTAGCATCCGTGAAACAGTAACAGGCTAACTTGTTAGCTTACAGGTCAGGTAAAATCTCAGATCCTTCCTGGTTCTTGACACAATAGGGAATTTTTTTTTAGCAAATTCTGGTCTGTGCCAGTGATAGAGTACTGTCCTGGTCAGTGTGGATTGCTGTAACAAAATACCACAGAGTGGGTAGTTCAAACAACAAATGTTTACTTATCACAGTTCTGGAGGCCCTGGCAGATTCAGGGTCTTGTGAGGACCCTCTTCCTCGGGTGTAGACTGCTGCCTTCTTATTGTATCCTTACATGGAGGAGAAAGAGAGAGAGCTCTGGTCCTTTTATTAGGGCACTAATCCTATGGGATCTCCCCTTTATGACCTCATGTAAACCTGATTACCTCCCAAAGGTCCCACCTTCAAATAGCATTGCACTGGGGATTAGGTCTTCAACATACGAATTTTGGGAGGAATACAAACATTCAGTCCATAGCGAGAATTAAGCCACCATGGAAAGTTATGTTCTCAAAAAATCATCAATACATGAAAATGCTCATGATGTATTGATTAGAGGAAAAATAAATTGCCCAACAGTACAGTTTGATATATTTTTTAAAAAGTGTATGCTCAGAAAAATTTCTGGAAGTGGGCATGTGAAAAGATGAGTGTAAGATCATCTTGAAAATGATTGCATCATTTCTTAGTTCATTGTTCCTAAACTTTAGCATCTGTCAGGATCATGTAGAAGGCTCTTAAATATAGCGTGCTCGGTGTCACCCCTACAAATTCGGAGTCAATGGGTCTGGGTGGGGCCTGAGAATGTGGATTTCTAACAAGTTCCCAGGTGCTGCTGCTGCTTGTCAGGGAACCCCACTTTAAGAACCACTCTCCTAGTCCACGTGGCAGTTTAGTGCAGTAGTTATGAGCATGGACTCTGGAGCCGCCTTCCTTGGCTTTGCATTTGATCCTGCCACTCCCTAGTTATGGGACTTAAAGCAAATTTTAAACTCTGTGCCTCATTTTCTGATCTGAAAAATAGCAGTTAACCCATAGTATTAAACTATAAAAAGCTTAGCACAATGCCTATGATATTATAAGTGCTCTTATGTTTTTATGTTATTGTCTAGAAATTATAAATCTGTTAATACTAAGAATTTTACTATTGGCCCCACCAAATTCTGTGTGTGCAGGGAAAAGAGTGTGAGGAATTAGAATCAGGCAGACTGTGCAGACGGTCACCTACAAGCTTTAGTTTCCTCGTCTATAACAAGGGGCTCTAATTTCTCTCCGGCATTACTTTTGGAAGGATTACAGGTGATCACACGTATAAAATACCTGGCAAGTAACCTAAGTCAGTTAATATTAATCGTCTTAGTTCCCACACCTCTCCTGACTAAGTCTCACTCATTTAATTAACAAAAATTAGTGCCTGCTTTATTCCGTCCTTCTTACTGCTTTAGCTTCAGGATTACATCTTTTCACAGGACCTAAATGGCCCGCTCTCTCGAAACTTACATTGTATTGGGGGAAAATTTAAGATTTAGGCCTAAAAGCTAGAAAGACAGAATGTTGTAATGGAAAAGCAACATCAGGGGTGAGAAAGTCTGATTTTTTTGCTATTCTGCTACTAATGTAATGTTTGGTGTGAGCAAGTCATTTATCTGTGCCTCATTAGTAAGATGAGAAGGTTCCGCAATATGTTTCTAAGATCCTTTAAACTCTAACATTCTTTCAGTCTAAAACTTCTAAAGCTTTATAAATTAGGTGTTGAAAAGTGAAGTGCTTTGTGGGCCCCCTAGGTAATAGAAATGTGTAAAATGGCAGGCTAGCTACAGAGAATGGTGGAGACTGGCAATTTGGGGAACTCATGCCTGCCTGAAGACATTTACATTAGAATTGTTTTTAAAACATTTGCTTGTCAAATAACACACACTGGCAGGCTGGATTCTGTAACAATTGGTCTAAGGATAGTCTCACTTAGCCATTCAGGGCATCATACCCCTCCACGCTTCAGTTTTCCTATTTTCACAGTAGACCCAACAACTGTTAATCTTAAAAAGAATTTAAAAACTTTTGAAATAATTATCTTCTAAATGCTTTTAGTTAGAATAAGGAGAAAGAATGAAATTCTGCTTTTAAATATGAAAATGGGTTAATTCTGTAAAACAGAATATACTAGGGCTGTCACAAACCATTCAATTGTTTGCACTACTCATTTCAGCGTAACTGAAATAACAGTGCATGTCGAGCAGATAGATCAGCTCTAGGCAAAGAATTAAAATCTGACTGTAAAGAGTCAGCTTGTACCTGGAGGTTTGAGGTGTGTCGGGGGGTGTTCTGCACTCGCGTGTGATTCACTGATGGTTGAGAAGCACATTAATCACATTGTCTGTGGGAAACAATAAAGAATGGAAGTGTTTTACATGTGTATACACATTACAACACTGAATTCCTTGAAGAAAGGATATCCTTTGGAAGAAGGTTTGCTGAAAATGTCAGGGATCATGAAAAGAAATAATAAAATAAAAGATCTTGCTTCTGATTAAAAGAGAAACTGTCCTAATAATTTTCTGATATGTTACTTTCCTGGACTTACGATTTTGGAAAATGAGAACAGAGATAGAGTATTTACTTGCATTCTTGCTTTGATTTAACTGAGAATGTTCGGTTAGGTTTTCATGAAGGAAAGTGAATTGGAGAGTGAGAATTTCCAATGAATTTTGGATATACAAAATACAGATTACTCAGGAGAAAAAAAAGTTTACTTTGAAACCATCTAAAAGGAAGAAGCCTTCAAATTGCCCTCCTTCCCTCCCCCACTGTTCCTCAGGCACCACTGATGGGTTCTCTGCCATTATAGGTTAGTTAGTCTGCATTTTCTGGAATTGTATATAAGGGGAATCATACAATAATACTCTTTTTTGTCTGACTTCTTTCACTTAATATAATTACTTTGATTTATTCGTCATTTTGCCTCTCTCAATAGTCCATTTCTTTATACTGATAAGTAGTAATTTGTTGTATGGATATGCTAAATTTATTTGCCATTTAGTTTCCTTAAAGTTTTTGCCTATTACAAATGAAGCTGCTATGATCATTTCTTTGCACTTAAAAAAATGAAATACTTGTTATAAATCTAACAAAATATGTACAAGAGCTACATAAGGAAAACTACAAAACTCTGATGAAAGAATCAAAGAACTAAATGGAGAGATATTCTATGTTCATGGATAGGAAGATCCAATATTGTCAAGATGTCAGTTCTTCTCAACTTGGTCTGTATATTCAATGCAATCCCAATCGCAATCCCAGCAAGTTTTTTTTGTGGATATTGACAAACTGACTCTAAAGTTTATGTGGAGGAGTAAAAGACCCAGAATAGCCAGCACAGTATTGAAGGAGAAGCGGGTTGGAGGGCTGACATTACCCAACATTAAGACTTAGTGTGAAGCTACAGTAATGAAGACAATGTGGTATTGGCAAAAGAATAGACAAATAGATCAACGAGAGAGAGAATAGAGAGCCCAGAAATAGACCCACATAAATATAATCACTGATCTTTGACAAAGGAGCAAAGGCAATACAATGGAGCAAAAAGACTCTCTTTGACAAATGGTGCTGGAACAACTGGACATCCACGTGCAAAAAAAAAAAAAAAGAATCTAGACATAGACCTTACAACCTTCATGAAAATTAACTCAAAATGAATAACAGACCTAAATGTAAAACGCAAAACTATAGAACTCCTAGAAGATGACATAGGCGAAAACCTAGATGACCTTGGGTATGGTCGATGGCTTTTTAGATAAAACATCATAGCACAATCCATGAAAAGGGAGAGAATAGATGAAAAGAAAAATAAACAATTAATATACACAGGCTCTGTTTTATTTGTTGTACTTATAATAATCCTATAATTGACAACAACCCCTAAATAATCCCCATTTAATAAGAGAGAAGGCTGAAGTGTAAACAGGTGAAATGACTGTGCAATCTCGGTAGGATGTATAAGAGAAGCAATTTTCACTCTCCTTGGTCTGATGCCAAACCCCTTGCTTTTAGCACTAGACCAATGTGTGTCCGTATGAAATGGAAGCAATGAGAGTGGCTGGCTGAAGTCTGTTTGGCAGAGCCAGGCGGGGCAGTTCAGAGATAGTGTAGGGTTCTCTCAAGAACCTACAAACGACTCCATGAAACAGAAAGCCAACCTTTGAAATCTACAATGCCCAGCTTCTATCAAATAAGAACTTTCTGACCCTTGTTTCCCGTGCCTTCCCTGCTCCAGCTTTAGAGAGGCCAGATGCAGTCTAGTGAAACAGGATGAGGAAGCAGAGGAGCAAGGTGGGGAATAAAGATGAAGGTCCCAACTCAGCTCTGCCCCTGAAGCGGCCCTTAGAGGGGGGAGGGAGGAGTTTGACTCAGACCATAGAGTGCAAGTGATGCCATTATATTAGACAGCACTTTCTGTTGTCTAAAAGTCACTAGAAAAGCTGTAGATCTTAGCAAAGGTATCATCTAGGGGTGGAGAAGATCAAGTCAAGGGGTTAGTGGTGGGAAAAATTAAATTTGTCCTATTTTTTCTGAGTTTATCTCATTTAATAAACTGGTACATTCATATTATTTCCTGTTACAGAAGTCTGAAAAATCAGGATACACCTTCAAAAGATTCAGAGATTCAGGGGCCAGCCCGGTGGCACAGTGATTAAGCTCACACATTACACTTTGGCGGCCCGAGGTTCGCTGGTTTGGATCCCGCGTGTGGACATGGCACCGCTTGTCAAGCCATGCTGTGGTAGGCATCCCACACATAAAGTAGAGGAAGATGGACACGGATCTTAGCTCAGGGCCAGTCTTTCCCAACAAAAAGACAAGGATTGGTGGCAAATGTTAGCTCTGGGCTAATCTTCCTCAAAAAACAAAATAAAAAAGATCCAGAGATTCAATTTGGTTTAGATGAGTATACAGAT